CCTATATAGTGCCCCTATGGAGACCTGCATGCGCTGGGGACCACTATATGTACAGCCTTCCCCTTTATAACAGGGGACACCTATATAATGGGGGAGAGACCCCTATATAAGGGGGCAATGAGGGCCCTCAGCCAACGGGACCCCCCGTATATAACAGGGGATGAGGTCACCCTGGATATTGGGCGTCCCTTTACAATTGGGGGGGGTGAGGGGCACCTCTAAAATGGGGGGAGCTTGTATTGTGGGAGGGTGAGGACACAAGAGGGACCCCTATAGAACAGGGAATAGGGAGCCCTATATAATGCGGGGATGAGGAGCCCTATACATTGAGGACCCCTTTATAGCAGGGGTATCGGGACCCCCTCATATGGGAGGGGATGGGGACACCCTGTACGGTGGGAACCCCTTAAAATGGGGGGGATGAGGATACCCTCTGTGGGGGGGCTCCTGTATAAGGTGGGACAGGAAACCCCTATATAATGGGTATCCTGAGAACCCCTCTAATAGGGACCCCCATAAAATGGGAGGGTTGAGGACCCCCTGTACCTTGGGGACCCCGTGTCATGGCATCTGAAGGTGACTGGGGCTGGGGGGCATGGCCCTTTGGCAGCTCATGGACACCGGGATCGAGACCGGGAATGCCAGGACAGGGACCTACTCACAGGGTTTCTCTCGAAGGTCGGGCACGAGCCACTACCTCCAACCGTTGGAAGAAACGTGCTGGGAAGGAAGGTCCTCTACCTGCCCGGCTTCTTCACCTACGGTGAGCCAACATCCCTCCCTGCCAGCCCGAGGTCCTGCCCAAAAACGGGGCTGGGAGCCACCAGGCCGACCAAGGTGACCTCCAGCAACGTTCCCACCTCCCCTTGGGGTCATCCCCAGCCTCCAGTGAGACATAAACCGCTACAACTAGTCACAAAACCAGCATTTTACCCACCTGTGGTTGGGGACAAGGAGGTGGTGGCCCCAGCGATGATTTTTCTCTCTGAGCTGCGCTGGAGGGGTGGGGGGATACTCGGTGACCTTGGGGGCTGCTTTCACAGTGGGTTTGTGATGAAGAAGAGCTCACGGTCACAGAACGAATCACAGAATGATACGGGGTTGGAAGGGACCCCTGGAGATCATCTAGTCCAACCAGTCCTGAAAGCCGAGTTGGGCCAATCCCAAAATCAGACAGTGGTAGCCATGGGGTGGGGGTGACCCTGCACAGGAGCAGTATGTGAGCACCTCAAACCTCTCCCAGGACACCCAGGACTGGAAACACTCCGGTGCTGCCCCTTGGAAGATGCATTTTCCAAACAGATTTCCAGCGTTGGGTGGTGGAGATGGGCAGAACCTCCCTGGCTTCGCTTGGGACAGCGGAGGGTGGGGGCAGGAGCAGTGGGTACCCACAAGCACGTGATGGGTCCTATTCCACCCTGTTATATCAGGGAGAAATTGGATTTGTTGGCTTATTTTTTGGCTGGAGACCCAAGGAATCTTGCGTGGGAGAAGGTGAACTGAACCTGGGTTTGCGAGATCGTTATTAACCCCGAGTCTGACCCCTCAGGAGAGGGAAGTGACACCACACAACACGTGGGATCATCCCTCCCTCCCCTCATTCACTCCAAACTGCCTGGTGGCCCTTTTTGGGTGAGCAAAGCTATCGAACAGCCCAAAATACTGGAGCCATCCTTCTGGTTTAGACAAATGTGACAGAATTCTTTGCATCCTGTAGGAATTTTATTTAGGACTGTTAATAAATCACTTACAGCGGGGCTGCAGAGCGGTGTCCGTGCTGTGTTGAGCTCTGGCACGGTTTTGGCTGAACCCTGGAGGTGTTTTGGGGTGTTCTCCACGCGCCAGCAGGTTCCCGACTGACAGCAGCCTGGTGTTTTCTTACCCAGCCAGACACATCGTGGAAGTGGATGGGAAAAGAGGCCTCTTCCGCGGTCTTACTCCTCGCCTCATCTCAAGCACTTTATCAACCATCACCAGGGGGAGCGTGAAGAAGGTAAAGGTCGGCTTCTCTCTCCATAAATCAATTTGCGGGGTCGGCCCGTGCTACTGCAGGGGAGCCAGGGAGCCTGCATCTACCCAGCCACGACTGTGCATGGAGGAATAACGCGCTCTCCATCTCCTAAAAGCTTTGAATAGTCCTCCAGGACAGGAGGAGAATAGTGCCCATATCCCCCAAACTAATTTTCTAAACAATATATATTTAATTTGAACAACCACTTGCCTTTTGTAAGCAGTTTCAGGACCCCTCTGTGCCCTGTTTCGCTTTCCATTCTTCTTTCTCCTCTGTTCCTCCTTGCCCTTTTTTCTTCTCTTCCCATCTAGAGCACAACTGCCTGTGGTTTCCTCCTGTCCTCGGCCGTGGAGGGTTTGTGGGGCAGCATCTCCCTCGGTTTTGACCATGTGCTTCTTCTCTCCCTGCTCAGGCCTTTCCACTGGAAGACATGGAGCACGTTTCTAACAAGGATGATGTGAAGACCTCCCTGAGGAAAGTGGTGAAAGAGGTGAGAAGTGGATATTGTGTGTTAACAGAAAGATCATTTTGGGGATGTGCCTGGAGAGCAAAGGAAGCTTCAGCTGTGGGCTGGGGGTGAAATTACTCGGAGACAAACTCTGGGTGAAAAGGTTGTGGCATTTAGTAGCTACTCTGTGCCCAGCTATGAAATATTTCATTTATCCTGAACAACAGATTTCAAAAGAAGAACCTGAAATGGGTTTTACTCCACGAAGGGAAAGGGCCTGACCTGTGCAGGTGGGGCAACGTAGATTTTCATACAGGTCTGTTTTTTTCTCCCCTTCCCAGACCTCTCACGAGATGATGATGCAGTGTGTGTCCCGGGTTGTCTCACATCCTCTGCACGGTGAGTCCTGTCCTCTCCAGACTGAGGAGCCCTGCTCTGGCCAGGGATCACCCCAAAACCCCAGTCACTCCATGTGCATCTGTCATAAATGGCCTCGTGTGGAACCACAGAACAGATGCAGGTCTCGAGTGGTCACCTGGGTTGGCTTTGAGGGACTAACCCAGCTGAGTGGTGAGGTGCTCTCTTCCCATTCATCCCAGAGCTTGTCCTAGAGATCCCGTTGGGGTTAGGGCCAGAAATCCTTCCTGTCACTGACAGACTAGGGAAAAGCTCCGGTTTCTAATGAGGCTGGCGGTGCTGAGGACCACCGAGAGGAGCTGGAGGTGATGCAAGGTGAGGGGAGGGAGGGCAGAAGGGTCAGGCCTTGTTTTCCTTCACCCAAGCTGGATTCCTGCAACCCAAACTGGATTTATTGCTTCACCAGCCCTGTGTTTCTTTCCTCCCAGTGATCTCTATGCGCTGCATGGTCCAGTTCGTGGGCCGGGAAGTCAAATACAGGTGAGGGGCTGCAGCTCGGAAGGGTTTGGGCACAGAAAAGCACGAGTCTGAGAGTCAGTGGTGCCCCATGGAGTGAGGGATATGGCAACCAGGTGGTTTGGGAGACCGAAAAGTGAATCTGAGCCATGGTTAGAGGGTGGACAAGTTGGGGGTGAAAGGGTGTGGGGAGAGATGGGCTCTGTCCCTGGTGTCCCTCTGTCCTGCCGTGTGCCCATGGGGATTTTGGTGGCTGTAATGCACCTTCCTGGTCACACAACGAGACTCCTGCCTTTTTGCTTTAGGTGTTAATGGAAAGGGAGGTCATCAGGAGGCAGAGTAGGTGACAGGTGAGGGGCTGCAGCTCGGAAGGGTTTGGGCACAGAAAAGCACGAGTCTGAGAGTCAGTGGTGCCCCATGGAGTGAGGGATATGGCAACCAGGTGGTTTGGGAGACCGAAAAGTGAATCTGAGCCATGGTTAGAGGGTGGACAAGTTGGGGGTGAAAGGGTGTGGGGAGAGATGGGCTCTGTCCCTGGTGTCCCTCTGTCCTGCCGTGTGCCCATGGGGATTTTGGTGGCTGTAATGCACCTTCCTGGTCACACAGCGAGACTCCTGCCTTTTTGCTTGAGGTGTTAATGGAAAGGGAGGTCAGCAGGAGGCAGAGTAGGTGATAGAGAATCACATGGGGTTGGAAGGGACCTCTGGAGATCATCCAGTCCAACCCCCTGCCAAAGCAGGTCCACCCAGAGCAGGTTGCACAGGAACTCTCAAGTTCCTCTCAACCTCAAGACCCACTCCAGGTGGGTCTTGAATGTCTCCAGAGAAGGAGACTCCACCACCTCCCGTGGCAGTTCCAGGGCTCTGCCATGCTCAAAGTAAAGATGTTCCTCCTCATGTTTAGATGGAAGTTCTTATATTCAAGTTTGTACCCATTTCCTCTTGTCCTGTGCCTGGGGATGTACCCATTTCCTCTTGTCCTGTCCCTGGGGAACCACTGAGAAAAGACCGGCCCCATCCTTTTGACACCCACCCTTTAAGTATTTATAGGTGTTGATCAGATCCCCCCTCAGCCATATGAAGTGCTGGTGCAACCCTTGAAGTATTTATAGGTGGTGATCAGACCCCCCCTCAGCCATACGAAGTGCTGGTGCTGCCCTGCTTGTCTGCAAGACAATTTTCCAAGCCTTTTTCAGCAATACCTGTCTCTGTGCAGGACAAACCTACACACGCAGTCACCTGAAAGCATGCCCGACACGATTGCAGCTACTCCACGACTGCCAGCGTGAGCTCCCAGAGGCAGGACGGGGCTCTCGGGTTCAGAATCAGCCTAATTAAAGCAAATTACGTGCTGTAATTGCAGCACATGTATCTACTCACCCAAAGCCAAGCAGAGCTCTTCGAGCTCTGGCATTTAAACAGCTGTCAGCAGGTTGAGTGTTGTCCCAGGAGTTACTGCAGACTGGCAGAATGGAGGGATGACCCTTCTTGAGGAGTTGAGAAGGAGCAGATTGGAGCTGCCCTCTGCATTGGTGGCTTTGAGGGACACACTGTGGTCTGCAGAGTGTGCAGGAAGCTGTTCAGGACAGAGAGAGCAACCCCTGCACCTTCACAGCTCTTCTCCTTTCTTGGCAGCGGTGTCTTCAGCGCCATCGGCAGGATCTTCAAGGAAGAAGGGATCCTGGGATTCTTTGTGTACGTGAGTTGTTGTTTAAATGCTTTCTCCTGTAGCCCAAAGGTGCCTGGCTCTCCTGGCCCCCCATCTGAAACCTTGTCCAACTGCAGGACCCTCCCATCCCTCCCAGAGGAGCCTTTGATAGGCTCCAGTTTGACCATTAAGTTTGCCCCAGATCTTATCTTCAATCAAACCTTCAGAGCCCAGAGAAAACTCTATTTTTTTTTTTTGTTGTTCTTACCTTTCTTTTTCCCCCCTGGTGGTGCTTTGTGTTTCACTCAAGGGCCGTTTAAAGCGTTTGTTTGTGCAACGGGCACCAAGATCAAGTGCAACAATGAGACCCCCTTGTTGAAATAAAATCCAGGACCCGGATAAGAAGCACGTTCCTCTGAAGAGCACCCTGGGTGCTCCTAACGAGCGGGTGGTTGGTGCTGGGGGCAGGTTTGCCTCTGCTGTGGGACCACGGTGCTGCTGGGCTCAGCAACGTCGCTGCCTGGACCAGAAAGAGCTGAAAAGTTCTTCCAGCCTTTTATGGAGCCTGGTGAATTGATGGCGTCGCTCAAGTGGAAGTCTAGCGGACACTTTTTTTTTTGCTTGAACCTTTAATTAACACTTCTTGCCTTTTTTTTTTTTTTTTTTCACATCTGTATAAAAGCAGAACCACCTGCTGCCTCCGCTCCCGGTGGGAAGATAACACGCTTTATTATGTTAATAACAGTAAAGGCAGCTCCGAAATTTCAGGAGGGGCTTTCAGGCCTGATGCCTTTGGCTCCTGCAGTCACAAAATTTGGGCTTCCAGATGGAACATGAAGGCAGCAGGAAGAATGAGCAATCACAGGGGGTCTCACCGTGTCCTTCCCCAAGAGAGAAGGGCCAGGTGTCTGCAGAGACCCCAGTCGAGTGTTGCTGCATCTTCCTTTTGCAGCCCACGGCTTCTCTGGGGAGGGTTTGGGGTGCAGCCCCAAATCTCCTCTGTTAGATACAGGTTCCTTGGGGATGATCCCCCTGGGCACGGCTGGAGCAGGCTGCTCAGCAATCCTCCCTCTCCTCCGCCTCCTGAGGAAATAAGGTGAAAAGAGCCGCCGCATTCCCTTCCTCCACATAAAATAAACACTGTTGGTAGCCTAATTAAACTTAATAGTTCACAGGAAAGGCTTTAACACAACCCAAAATGTCTCAGGAGGGCTCTGAAGTTATATGTGCTCTACAGCCCCGTGAGGAAATCTCACCAGGACCAAACCACTGTGTTTCTGCTCACAGCCCTCCTAAGGCAACCCAGACACCTCCGTGCCCTTAAAATCACCGCGGTGCTCTCATCTCTCACGGCCTTAAAACCTCGACACAGCACTAATGGTGGCACCCACTCTCTCTGGATGTGTGCCTCTAGAGATAAAGACTTTCCAGGGGATGGATTTATCTTGCTTCCCCTCATATCTGCAGCGCTCTCCTGCCGGCCAGCAGGCCAGAGAGATGTTCCTGGGGCTCCAAGACACTCGTGTCACATCGAGGATGGCTTGTCCCAGCCCTGCCTGGCTCTGAGGTTTCTCCTGCTGGGTACCATCACCGTAATCACAGGCTTCACCATGTGCCTGCTACTGGTTCAGCTTTTGATCACTTGTCATCTTTTAAATCCAGATCTCCTTGAACATCTCACCGGGCACAAGAGCTGTACCACAAATGAGTTTGGGTTTTTTAGTCTCTTTCTGCATCTCTCTCAGACCTCTGGTCTCCAATCATCCTGTAAACTCAGGTCCAGCATCTGTTGTTACTTTGATGATGGAGGGGAGCAAGGGATGGGATCCTTATTGCAAATGGAGCAAACGATCTGATTCTCTATCAACAGATGGGTGAGGGTTTACTCACGCGGCTGCTGTGATTTCTGTTTCCTGGTCTTTATTAAGCCCTTGTTCTATCTGCAGCAGCTCAGGAGGCTGCTTCAGACTTGACTTTGAGGTAGAGAAAGGATTTTTAACAAAGGCTAAATGCTAAACGCAAAGCAGACCATCTCTTTGGGACCAGAGAGCTTTGATTCCTTTGTCCTGTCCGTCGCTCTCATGTGTCACATCTTTTAAAGCCAGTGGATCTTCTATTGGAGGCTTCTGCTGTGCCCAGCCCCTGAGACCTCGGCTGCTTCTCCAGAGCTGCCAGGGCCCTGGCAATGCATGGGTTGTCTCCAAAAAGCATAAACCCTAACACCAAGGAAGCAAAATGGGCTGGATCAGAGCGCGCAGTCCCAGTTGCTGTTCTGCTGCTGCAGCGACCACAGCAGGAGAGAAAACCGGTCCCTGCTCCGAGGAGGCAGCATTGGTTTTTTGGGGAGAAACCAATGACTCGGATGAGTGTGCTTGGAGGTGGCTCTTTCCAGCACCGCAGACACTCCTGTGCCTCTCAACAGGCTCGTTTTCAGAACTGTCTGGATCCTTTTGCAGCGGAATTCTGCACATCCAAAGCAAGAGGCCCTGGGCTTGCCCCCTGTGCTGGTCCAGCAGATGCTGCAGGAGCTCTGGCAAACTGAAGAAACCCTCCAAAACGCTTTTCCAATGTTTTAGTGCCATTAGCTGTGGAAGCTGAGGGTGTTCGTGCTGCTAGGAGCTCCAGCCCACATGTTGATGAGAGCCATAAACCAAAGCAGCACATTGCCTCGTGTCCCCATGCTCTTGGGTGGCAGCAGAGACAGGGAAAATCAGGGGCTGGAGCTCTGCCTCCAGATAATCCCACTTTGCAGCAGAGCAGGTTTTGTGGGAACAACCCCCCTCATTTTCATTTCTAAAAGGAGGGAGATTCCACAGAGAGATGAGCTTCTCATCCCGGGTCCTGAAGAGCATCTGCAAAATGAGTTTAACAGAAATCAGCTTCATCCCTGCCTTGCCTGGGTTTCAGAGCAGGAGTTGGGCCAACGGGGGGTTTTGGGGCAGAACAAGGGGACTTGGGTGCCCACACGGCAGATCCCGAACTTTCTGCTCCAGAGCATCCCCTGGCAGCACACGTAGGACCATGTTTGAAGGCCTTCCCTGAAATTTCCCCTGTTCCCATCAATTCTTCCCAAAGCAAAGATGCACTTTGGGGGAAGGAGGTTCCTCTGCGCTGGTGGAGGGAGGGCTGGGCACCTTGGAAGGTGGCACTTGGGACCCTTCTGCACCTCACGTCCCTCTTTTTGCTGTTGCAGCGGTTTGGTCCCTCACATCCTGGGAGATGTCATCTTCCTCTGGTGCTGCAACCTCTTGGCTCACTTCATCAACACCTACGCGGTGGACGACAACGTGAGTGGGAGCCCTTGATGGAGGGTTTGGGGGGCACCTGCAGTTGGAAGGAGTTGATGGGAGATTAATGGCTAATTTAATACAAACAGACACTGGGCTTTGGATAAAACACTGTAAAAGTGCTAACGATGCAGTGTCTGCTCAGGGCTGTGTTTCAGCTCCAGTTCAGAGGATGAGGTTTGATAGAAAACGTCTTCTCTGGTTCTCAGCTAGGATGTGGCGTGGTCACCACTGCTTTCTGCCTCCTTCCCCTGCCCCACACCCATCACCTCGGGCTCGGAGGGGTGTCAGGCAGTGACAGTGACAGCCCGGTGTCCACCTCCTCCTCAATCCCTTTGGTTTCTCTTTCCAGTTCAGCCAGGCATCGGTGATCCGGAGCTACACGAAATTCGTGATGGGGGTACGTAGGCAGCTGCCATGTCCTTTCTTCTCTTCCTGCTGCTGGGGGGGGTGACAGCTCACAGTCTGGGGACAAAGGCTGGTCCCTACTTTGTCTCCAAAGATGAGGATAACTTTGTCAACATGCAAAAGCTGGCACTAGCCTTTTTTTTTTTTTTTTGACATGATGAACGTTAGAGAGGCTACTGTTTTTCTGTTCTTTCAGATCGCTGTGAGCATGCTGACGTACCCCTTCCTTCTGGTGGGAGATCTCATGGCAGTGAACAACTGTGGGTATGTCCCTCACACTGAGATCTGAGGCTTCCCCTATCCTTTCTTCCAGCCCCTCGTTCTCTGAATCCTCTGCTAACGATCGTAAAGCTTTCATACCCAACCCGTAAACTAGACGGCACCTCGCAGGGTTGGCTCGTTTCCTGTCCCAGGCTGCTTAGAATTTGACATCAGAGGGCACAGACAAGAGCAGCATAAAAGCTTCAGGTGGGGAGAAATAGGGAGAGCCGCCGTGGCGTGGTCTGATCTGAAAGAGACCGGAGGCAGAAGGGATCAAAGGGAGGGAAAGCAAAGCTCTTAATGGGTGGAGGCAGGAGCAGGACCAAGCTGGCTTTTGATTGCTGCAAGAAGCCCTCTGCGTTTGTGCCTGTGGCAAGGGGACTGGATCCAAGAGGGTGTAATGTCTTGATTTCTGCTGGCTCTCGGAGGTGTGGATACAGCGTCGAGTCCTGGGCTCGGTGTATCCAGGTAACGCTCCGTGTTTGTACACTCCAGAGGTAATTAAATTACACGATCTGTTGCATTGTAAATAACGGAGCCGGTCATTTGGCCTTCAGCCCAGGGCCGACGCTGTTTCTGTGTCCTCCCTTACACTTCTGGCTGCTCTTGTGTTACCTCTGGATAACGTGACACCTCTACGGACCCTTCTCAGCTCTCTCTCATTCCTGCAGGTTGCACGCCGGCCTCCCTCCCTATGCTCCCGCCTTTACGTCCTGGATCCATTGCTGGAGGTATCTCAGTGCTCAGGTGAGGGGAGCAGGGCACACGTGGAGCTTTGGGCTCCATCTCCTCCTGCCCCAGGTCTCCAGCGCTGCCCAGGGAGTGCCTGTCCCACATCCTTGATGTTCTCTATAACCCATTCCCATCCCTCCAGTTTGGCACTGGTTCCAGGCACGGCAGTACTGGTCTGCCCCTTACATGGCCCCAGGATTGTGTGCAGGTCTGGAGCCCTCAATATAAGAAGGACATGGCCCTGATGGAGAGGGTCCAGAGGAGGGCCACGAGGATGATCAGGGGGATGGAGCACCTCTGCTACGAGGACAGGCTGAGGGAGCTGGGGTTGTTCAGCCTGGAGAAGAGGAGGCTCCGGGGAGACCTAATAGCAGCCTTCCAGTCCCTGAAGGGAGCCTACAGGAAGGCTGGGGAGAGCCTGTTTAGAAAGGCCTGTAGTGACAGGACGAGGGGCAATGGCTTCAAGCTGGAGGGGAACAGATTGAGACTGGAGATGAGGAGAGAGTTCTTCACTGTGAGGGTGGTGGAGCACTGGAACAGGTTGCCCAGGGAGGTGGTTGAGGCCCCTTCCCTGGAGATATTCAAGGAGAGGCTCGACGAGGCCCTGGGCAACCTGGTCTAGTTGGGGGGGTCCCTGCTGACTGCGGGGGGGGCGGACTAGATGGCCTTTGGAGGTCCCTTCCAGCCTGGGCAATTCTATGATAAGATTGCAGCCTGTGAGCTTTCAGCAAACACATGGCTCGCAGCGAAGCGCGATGGCTCTGCCCTTCTCCATCAGCCACCCTAGGGGGAAGATGCCCACCCCCAGCACCCACAGGGCTGACACCCCCATATCTCCCCGAGGGTGCCTGGGTCTCGCAGCCCCTGGGGTGGGCCTGGGTCAGTCCCTGCTGTGATTCCCAGGCCGGGTCTCAGCCCTGACCTTCTGCTCTCTCCTCCGCAGGGGCAGCTCTTCCGCGGCTCCAGCCTGCTCTTCCGCAGAGCGCCCGCCGCCTGCTTCCCCATCGACTGACCCCCGGCTCGCAGGGAGAGGTGATGGATGTGGGCTCCTCAAGAAACCCTAAGCTTGTTTCGATATACATCTATTTTTTTTTTTTCCCCTTTTTGATCCGAAGTCCGTGGTGCCAGAAGGAGACACCTCCTCTCCAACAAGGCCAGCAACAAGTTGGCTCCAGGAGATCTGGCTTCAGGCCCCAGCTGGACCAAAGCCCCATCCTCATGGCTGTCTGGACTGGGATGTGCAGCAGGGAGAGCAGAAGGGAGTTGTCTCTTTGGTCCGGGCTGTAGCTCTGGAGTCACCGGGGAAGTTTGGGCAAGCAGAAAATGCCCAGGTACTAAACAAGCCAGCCCTGAGACGCAGGGACAAAAGACTGCTTCGTTCTGCCCGAGCTGAGAAGCGGCAGGAGATTGAGGTTGTTTTTCTGGGAAGGCTCCAGCAGCTCTGGCCTCATCTCTTCTGGAGAGGGCAGGTACCTCATCCCGGGTGAGATCAATCCCGTGACCCATATTTAAGGTTTTGAGGGTACTTGAACACTAGGGAGGGAGCACAGCACCTCCCCCGGGCCTGAAGAAGGAAATTACAGTATCTACACAGAAAAAGGAAACGGTCTCACTACAGAACACAGCACGGTCCCTAAGAGACGGGGATGGCTCGGCTGCGGGGCGGCGCTGGGACTCGGACGTGGAGAGAGCACTCAGGGAGGGACGTGCACTGCAGATGGGAAGGATTTTTGCTGCAGGATGGGCTGGGTTTAGGATCCACCCGACAGAGCTGCCGGGTGTCACCCAGGCGGGCCGCCTGTACCTGGTCCTCAGAAGACAGGTCCTGGGTTGGACCAGCCGGGCCACATCTCCTGGGCATCTCCTGGCTGTGGGATGACAAGGTCTGGTCTTTGCTGATGGACACAGAGCTGTATCCTGCGGTGCTGCTGCATGGCAGCGTCCTGCTGAGAGCTACACACAGAAGGGGTCGGTTGCAGGAGGAGCGTTTGGTCCGTTCCTGTCTGGAGTAAAGGAATAAACCTCGAGGTGGCCGAAAGCATGCGAGGCCTTGGGTTCAGGAGCTCCTCAGGCACAGGGGAGCACGGCTGGCCCTTGTGCAGCAGAGCTCACCGGTGGCAGCAGGGCAGGATTTCTCCTCAGTTCACCAAAATAATAGGTTTTTTGCACCAGTCTGTGCTGCCGTGGCAGGCAGGCAGATTCCCCACACTTCGGTTCCCCCACGAAGCAGTCTTTTGCACAGAGATGTTGCTGCACTCCCTGGGAAGAGGGTTTTTGGGGTCCTCGAGCAGGTTCCCGTGTGCTGCAGCAGCAGCCGTTGGGGTCACGTCCCATCCTGGTCCTCTGGGGGCCTTGACCCACCATCGCACAGGGGTTTTCCTCCCTCGGATGGGTTTGATCCTCCCAGCCAGGGCTTCGGGACTCCGCTGGTACACGCTGGGACCGGTGGTGCCCACCCAGCTCCCTTCGGTGTCGTGACGTTGCTCCTGTCTGTCCTCCCTTTCCTCCCGTACAGTTGATGTGATGGTAACAGAAGTTAAATAATGCATGGCCCTGTTCCCTAACACCAGAGATTATTTCAAAGAGGATTTAACAGTGCTCCAAAATACAGCTATAAAACAACAACTCTTGGCTGTTTCTTTTGTTAAAAAGTGTTAATTTTTATTTTTTTTTTTTTTGCATCATGGGCTGCCTCGCTCAGGGAAAGTTTCACTTTAAGACAGGCATTTCCCTTGGTTTCCTCCCCAAAGCCAGGGCTAAACCAGCTGCTGCAAACTCCGGTTCCCTCCAGTCTCCCTCAGCTCTGTAGAAGGTCAATGGGTTTAGGCTGAGCCAACTGGGAGCACCTGGAGCTGGGGAGGAGGCAGCCGTGGGCTTGGCTGCTTGAAACGACACACATGGAAATAGGTATTTGGAGTTAAAATTGACCTGAGCAATTCTGGAAGAGATGATGGAGACCCTTTGGTGCTGTTGGACCGGTTCAGCTGCTCCATCCTCCCCTGTCCAGCTCACAGGGTCCATCCATCCTTCCCCACCGGCCCCACTTTTATCCCATTATCTGGTTTCTTGCCTCCCCGACACCAGGTACTGCATCTCCCAGATCACGTAACACCCTCTCAGAAACGTACACTTTTACCCTCAAAATTAAGGCCACCTTGTGCTGGTCACAGCCTGTGAACCCCCCCCCGCACAGCCTGGCTGCAGCCCCTGCAAGGAAAAGTGCCGTTTCCTTGAAGGAATTTACCTAAATCTGCCCCAGAGCAGGCAACCTGCCCGCAATTTCTACCAGCTCACCGGGACCCACCAGCTTTGCTGGAAACACAACGCCCAGAGCATAATTTTTGATCAATTTAAATGAAAACCAGGTTTCAAGGGGCTGCCTTACCTTGAAGCAGGGGCTGCTGTTCACAGGATAATTAAATATTTCCTTACTCCCACCCAGTCCTGACCCTTGTTCTCATCTGGTGCTTCATTTGATGTGTCCTACCACGGGGACAGCATCTACACCAGCAACAGGCAAGGAGAGAATTCTAGCTGGGCAACCCCCTCCCTTAATTGCTGCCCGGTTCGTTAGTGGGTGCTCAGCCCCACAGCTGGTGCTGGTTTCATGCAGCTGATGGGGGGATTTGGGGTCAAACCTGAGGTTGGGAGAACAAATGAATGGGTGGAGGAGGAGGTTTGGTCCCCAGGATGGAGATTTCTTCCCCCCCTCCACCGCAGCACTCCCCAGTCTGCCCAGGAAACAAACCTGAGTTTAAATATTGACTTTCCAGCACAAAACCAGTAGGGGCGGAGGTCGCTGCCGTGCGGTGCCCGCGCCGTTTATCAGCCCTCGGTGGAAAAACAGAGATTGCTGGGACTTTGGCCTCGTCTGCTCCCGGCTGCCGGGGGGAGAAGGGAGGCAGCGACCGCAGCCGGGAGAGGGAAACTCAGGTCAAGGCTGCCCTGACTCTCCCCGGGGTCTGGGTGCTTGGGGCTGGGCAGGGTTTGGGGAGCAACGAGGTTCTGGGGAACCCCTTGTGCCTGGGGAAAGCGCAGCTGAGCTCGGGTTCCATCACATCGTCCTTCCCTTTCCCCCTGCTACAGACCCTGTGGTTAAAACGAAGCCCCTACTACTGGTGGAGCTGGGAGGGAAGAGCTCTCCCCATGGCTGCCCGGTGGCCGTCACCCTGGTGTCTGGGCAGGGGAAGGCCGGGGGCTGCCTGTCCCCCCTCTCGCCAGCCCCGGAGTGATGGAGGGGCCCCGTCCTGCGGCGGCGGGCGAGGAAGTGCCCCTGCGGCCCGGCGGCCCTCGATAAGGCTGTTTGCGCTGTTCTCCCTCAGCGCTGAGCTCCACGTAGGCAAATAATTCTTTTAAAATATTTTAAAAAATCAAAAATAAACGGAGGAGATCTTGCCGCCAGCCAGGTGGGACTGGCTGGTGCCGGGAAATGCTCCCGGTGAGGACTTGGACCGGACCCAGGCGCCGGTGGCCCTGGACCTGTCCCCTGTCTCCGCACAGCCCGGTTCCCTGGGATGGTCTTCACCCAAAGTGGGGGGTTACGGAGGATTTGGGGGAAGGGATTCACCTCTCCCCCTGGACAAGGGAAATCCTGGCTGGAATCAAGGAGAAAAGGCCGCAAAGGGCACGGCGGGGATGCTGGGAGCGGTGGCCTGACCTGCCACGCTGGCGGCTCCGCTCCGGCTCGTAAGAGCAGGAGAAGAGCTGCTCTCCATGCTCCCCTTTGCCTGCCGTGGGCCTTTTTGGGGACAGAACTCCCCTCAAACTCCCCCAAACTGAGCTGCCCTGTCCCCTCCCGGGATGGCAGTGCTCTCAGGGGGAAGCCGGTGGCGTTTTATCCCACCTCGAGGAGACCCTGGACCTGGGGGACAGAGGTGACAGCACAGCCTGGCCAGGGTCGGCCGAGACGTTTCCCCCGGCGCTCACACGATGCCGGACCCCCCCATCCCCGGGGGGGAGAAGCAGGAACCCGGGAAGGGGGGGGTGGAAAAGCCTCCTTGGCTTTCCTTTTGGCTTGTGACCCCACGGCCGGGCCGGCGCGGCGAGGGGCCGCGTCGCTGCTGCGGCAGCCGTTGGTCGAGGCGGCCTTCCTTTGGTGAAAAAAAAAAAAAGCACCGAGCAAACAACACCCAACAAAGGTGTTAATTCTGTAATCCGGAGGAGTGGAGTTTCTCCCTTAAAAGCCGCCTGCGCGGCGCGGCTCCTGTCAGGCTGCCAGAGGAGGCCGGAGCAGCGTCACACGCCGCAAAGTTTTACAAGGCGAGCGGAGGCGTCTGGGGAGAGGGACGGGAGAGGGGACAGACGCACGCCCTCGGACACGGAGAAACCTCCTCCAGCTCCCATCCATCCCAACTTTGATTATTTTAATTGTGTTTTGTTTTTTTTTCTCCCCTTTTTTTTTTTCCAAATGTTTTTCTTTTTGGAAGAACAAAGACTTTGGGGTGGGTTGGCGCGTTTGTTTTTCTGGGGTTGGCGTTGGGGGGAAGGAGAGGGGGGGGAACCCCAGTGGCTCAAAGGGTGAGAAAGAAAGTCCTAAATTTCCCCGGCCGAGTTGCCGAGTCCGGGCAAAACTTGAAGGAGGAAAAGACGGAGAGCGGGGAGAAAAGGCGGGAGACGGCGTGGGGGGGGGGGAAATAATTAAAAAATAAAATATGATGACGTCACTTGGAGCTGGGGTGCCTTCCCCGCTGCCTGTCAGATGCGCCTGAAAAGAACAGGGCAATAAAACAACAGCCGCCTCTGTCTCCCTCGTTAAACACGGCACTAATTGGATGTTAATTTCTCCTTGCTCTTCTTGCTGCTCGATTGTGAGGGCTCTGCCGGGCTTCTCCCTCTCTCTCTCTCTCTCTCTCGCTTTTCTTTCTTTCCTGTTGCAACGCTCTTGGCAGCTCCGAGGGACTCCGGACTCTGCCTTCCCCTCCCGCTCGTGGACTGGAATAATTCAGGAGCCGGGAGTATTAAAAAAAAAAATAAAATAGAAAGAGGAGGCGCGGGGGGCGACCGGTTCAGAAACGGGGCGGGCGCGATGGGTGTCGAGGGCTCTGCTAATCTCCCCGTTTTCCCTGCATTGTCCTGTCGACTCCCAGCTATTCTCTTCCCATTTAGATTTCTCTTTCCCCCCCTCCTCTCCTTTTTCGCTTCGCGTTGG